AAGAAGCAAAAAATATTAAGAGTAGTGATCATCGTATTGTATGGTGACAGTTTAAAATTAAAAACGAGCAGTTTAGCGGGGGTGTTTTAAAAAAGATTTTTAAAAATCCCAAAAAAGGAACCAATCCGCACCAAAGCTGTAAATTAAGAGAATTATAAAGCGCATCCTACTCCTCTTGATCAGTACGTAACGATCCTTATATCAAATACATTTTTCGTTTAGTTCAATTTGTTTTCCAAGTAATAACAGATGTTTCTCTACAATACGTGTACTGATAATGCATCTCTTTTGATCGTAGAAAAACAAATATTGACTCATTTTAGGGAACTTGGTACTCGCTTAGAACTTCTGTTTACCTATTTTTATTTCAGTGAATCAGGCGAAAGACAGTTCACTTCAAGAAGTTATCTTTTTAATTTAAGAAGACATTCAACTAGTTCTTAAGATGAATTAAATTCTGAAATTTATGCAAAAACGCGTTTCGCCTTTTCCAGCTGTGTTTTTTAGTTTTCCTGTAGTTCTTTTTCTCCTAAATTCGAGAACAAAAATGACGTTCTTTTCTTTGTCGGTGAAGTGTTTGTTTTCCTTTTGATTCTCCGAAAATTTCGTATAAAAAGTATAAAATTTCATTTTTAGAAGAGATAACTAGCTCAGTAAAAACTAGTGTGAGTTGCGTCGGTGTTTCTAAAAATAGTAATGATAAAAGGGTAAATTTTAGACCGTGAAAAGATGAAAAAACGAAAAACTTAGTCCTTCGTCGGAGTAAAAGGATAATTTAATAATATTATTTTATTTTTAGTTGGTTGTTTTCGTTTGTTTTATTTTTTGACTGCATAACGAGTTAAAGGAGACGGCTAAACACCAGCCAAGGCGTCGCTTGGCAGTTTGGCCGATATGTTTCGCTTGCTTTTCTTCACTTTTCATTTTCCGACTTTTCATGTATAGTATATTTAAGTAAAAATAACTATGAAAATTGAAATATCATCGTTGAGTTCAGAAAAGCGGCAAAATCTCCGATTCTTTCTTCCTTCCTTTCTTTAAGTTCAGCTGTTATCTTTTTCAGTTTCTACTTTGCATATTTCTTTCTGTAATTTTTTTCTCTTTCTTTTTGTCTTTCTATTTTTTTCTTTTGCCAGTATGTCTATTGATTCCTCTGTCTCATTTTTCTTTTTCTTTCATTTCTTTCCCTATTTTTTTAGTTTTCCACATAGAGACAGCCATTTTCCTGAGGCAGAGATCACGGATGCATTACCACTAGTCTAGCCATTTATTAATACCACACAATAAGCGATCTCTCACTCCAAAGCATAATGGTTTATTTACTTTACTTCAGTAAATTTTGCGTGCAATATTTGCTTAACACCAGACTTCGGTAGATCACAATATAAAGTTTAAAACTGTTGTTTTTTTCATATATAGCTAAAGGGTTTTTAGACCATTTATTGATTACGTAACAACTTGTACTTATATTGGATAGTCTTACAAGCAGGTCACGAGAAAGCCCCCTAAACCGCGGGCAGGGGTTTAAGCATGCCGGATCGGGTGTACTTTGGTCAACGCTAGTACTGCGGCACGTGCTGTTTGCTTTTAGTAATTCTGTTGTGAAGGACGTGAAGGGCTTAATTTTGACGATATTGAAATTTTTTATTTTTATTTTACTTTCTTCTAAGTCGCCAAAAAAAGATAATACAGGTAAATCAATAGCAGAGCCCTGCAAAACAGGCTAAATATCTTAGGCCATTACGTAAGACTTTGTTGGAACACTGCATACCTGACCTCGTGACTGTTCAATTCGATAGCAGAACTTGTTTCAACAGATCTCACATAAAAATTCAGACGTGTTGTTCGTACAGTAAATCCCTTGCCAATTAAAATTCAATTACAGGATTTGTTAATAGAATTTTGAATACTTGTTACTATATTTTCAGAAAGGTAGATTGAATAAACTGATTGTGTGCGGCAAGATATCAAGGGAAAATCACTTTGGAGGGAATTAAAGATCTTATTTTCAAAGCTAGGAGATGGGCATTCTTAACGTATTCTCGTTTGTTTGTGTCYTTTYTTWATTTTTATTTTATTTTTTTTACCAAAAATGTTTATTGATTCTGAACTAACAAAAGGTATAATGATAAGAACTATTGAAGCTATAATTTCTCTCGCATAGCTAAGAATATATATAGTTATCCGCGGTTGCCAAGCAATTAAATAACCAATTTATTAGCATTATTTATTTATCTATAACATTATCGTTTAGTTAGAGCTTTCTATTATTCATAGTTACAAGCACCGCATTAACATTATAGTGCGAAAGAAGACATAAAGAGGTAACCTCCTATACCCTGGGTTCCAGAGGGATTTTTCCCGCGGATTTACTGAGAGCGGCTGACGGCTTCCCCGCTCTCAGTAAATCCGCGGGGGAAATCCCTCTAGAACCAGGGCAAACCTCCTGAACTGAATCGTTTTTTTTATAGAAATTTTTATTTTGCGGAGGAAAGAAAAGAGAGGGGGAGAAAAACGCTCGAAGCAAGGGAGAGAATCAATAACAATCTCAATTCACGTATGACACCGAGTCCGGGAATCCAACACGGGTCGCAATGGTAAGAGGCGATCGTTCTCACCGCTACGCTCTTCACAGCCTGGCCCATATCAGTGGGGATGGCTACAGATGTCGCACACGTATATGATGAWGTCAGTTAATTTTGAGGTGTTGGATACGAACTAAAGGAACAATGATTGGGTCCCTTCATTGAAATGGCAACTAGTATTAAAAAACTAGGTCAACTAGGATTTCGTTTCAGCTTAAAAACTTCATTTATTCAGGAATTATCCGTATAGAAGTACTATTATTATGATTCAATAATAAACTTGACATTATTTTACATCTCTTCATCATCATCTTCTTCCTCCTCYTCACTCGACGTCACGTCAGGGTCGTTTGCTTGAAGCTCGCACTTCGCGCAAGCGCAGTTGAAAAGATAATTATCTCTGTGAGAAAAAATAATAACGTTCCATATGTGACATGTTCGAGTTCACTCACACCTCACGAATTACCGTTAAATATAAATYATAGAGGGATAAAGTGTCTAATTCTCATAATTAATACCAACGTCTACATTGTCAGGTTGAGTAGGTTGAAAGGTACCCTGGGTGCCAGAGGCCGTGTGGGGCTTGGGGGCGAGAGAGAGAGAGAGGGAGGAGGGGGGCATAGGTAGTTGAAAGGTTGAATGAAAGAAATAGAAATGGCGCCGAGCCAAGTTGCTAGACAAAGAATATTAAAACACTCACCTTAAGAATTTTTGACGACTATGTCTACTTCTCTCTCTTTGACATTCATCTAAATAACTTATACAAATTTCCTTTTGGATAAAAAGGAAAAAAAATCAAAAAAGATCTATAGACCAATAAGGCTGCGTTCATAATGTATGGCAGAGGGGGGGGGCAGGTAAAAATTCAAAATGTCCAGAATAATTCTTAACACCCCGCTTAAAGTCATGCAAAAAAATACGATCCCCCCGAAGCAAGGCTTGTAGCTTCTTCCAACAATTGTGCATCCCCCCATTTTTCTGATAAAAATTTGCCCATACCCCCTTATTCCTACCAAAATTTTCCAGATCCCCCTCAATTTTACCTGCNACACTCACCTTAAGAATTTTTGACGACTATGTCTACTTCTCTCTCTTTGACATTCATCTAAATAACTTATACAAATTTCCTTTTGGATAAAAAGGGGGAAAAAATCGAAAAAGATCTATAGACTAATAAGGCTGCGTTCATAATGTATGGCAGGGGGGGGGGGGCAGGTAAAAATTTAAAATGTCCAGAATAATTCTTAACACCCCCTTAAAGTCATGCAAAAAGATACAATCCCCCCAAAGCAAGGCTTGTAGCTTCTTCCAATAATTGTGCATCCCCCCATTTTTCTGATAACAATTTGCCCATACCCCCTTATTCCTACCAAAATTTTCCAGATCCCCCTCAATTTTACCTGCCCCCCCCCCTCTGCCATACATTATGAACGCAGCCTAAGAGAAGAGATAACTAATAATACTATTATGACTTCTAAATATAATTTACCTCTCCCTCTTGAATGTCTTGTAGAGCCTCTAGGACTAGAGTTGAATCATTGTATGGGAAAGTAACTTCTGCATTTGGTACACAATTGTGATTACCTTCRATTAAATGAAATAAATAGACAGGAATTATATGAGTCTTAATCCTATGATACACATTTCCTAATCCTTTCTTAAGTGATGAGAATTAATCCTTGGTTTATTTCCAGAATTATTGAAGTATATCTTATACCCAACATTAAAACAATAATTATTAGCGTGTGCCATGACTTTTGTTTGTTAGAGTAGGTATTGTAATAGCAGGGATAGMAGAGCTGGGGGGACTGGGAAATCCCCTCCCCCCCCACACACACACACACACAAAACACACACTTCACTTTTCACAAGAATGATATCTTATTTGGTCTTAGTTTAAGTCATGTATGGAAAAAGATATTCTAGCCCCTACTTTAAAATGTGCTGCACTATCCATGTATATGATAGATGTAGTCAGAACAGATGAAACAGATACGTGCAATCATGAAACATCTTATGATCATCACTTGTTACAGCAGATTTCAGATGCACAGTAATTTAGTGGATGGATGCTTGCGATTCTGTTTATTGTACCATGATAGCGCAATAAGGCTTTGTTTACATAGTACCRGACAAATTGTAAACAGTATGTATAGGTCACATTTTTTTGGCCAGTTAAAATTTTGTCCAGTACCATGTAAATGCAGCATAAAAGTCATCAGCAATCAATCCCAACRTTGTTATATTTCTTATATGTTATTACTTACAGCAGCTTTGCAAGCTATAAAGTCCGGCTCCCTCACAGTTTAAAAACTGACCAGACACTTTGTCTATCTCCTCGTAMAGATCATCCAAAAACAGATCAATAGCTTGTTGTTCATCCTCTGAAATATTTGTCATACTTTCTAGTTTTTTCACATAAACACTGAGGGAACTTGTACCAATGCCTTGTCCATTTGTACCAATCAGTGCAAAGAGAGACTGAAAACCCTCTGTCGTAAACCACTAAATTACCAAGAAAAGTAAATATAAAATTTCAAATCTAGAATAACTAATTGTACAACTATAATCTAGTACTTGCTACAATAATGTACTGCGATCCCCCACACTTTTTCACCAACATCCTTCTGACACTCTACTG